TGTTCAAGGCGTCTGAAATTTTAAGACAATTCGTAACGTCACTATAGTAAATATCAGTTGTACTTGATGGCAAGAAACAAGCAAAAATGCCCGATTAATTTGTGTGGCGTAAGGTCATCTAGTTGCTCATTGTCAGACATTTCTTCCAGCATCAGTTGCGCCCCATTTGAGAGGCTAGCATATTCATTCTGTTTGTGTCCAGAAAACCAATCGATGAACAGCTTGTTTCCAGTAATTATTGTAAAGATGGGGGAAAATTAGGTCAGCCAGTTGATATATATATGCATATAATATGTGTGTTTTGTTTGATAGTCTGATATATTTTGCTATGTATATATGGATCGATATTCCAATAATAATTAGCCAATCATGTTAGGACAGTCTATTGATTTATTCATTTTGAATATTCGCTCACACTCGTGTTCACACTTGTTCGGACATTCATATATTTTGCTCTCACACTCTTGTGTGACATTGATTCTCCTTCTGTTTGGAAAACAGAAGTATCATCGCAAACCTAGTGGTCTTCTGATTTCCGTCTTTCTTGCGTCAGGACTATTAGATTCTCGACCAGTACATAACGCCAATGTCTTCTTCCATTCTATGTCTAAAATATAACCTACATGGGTTGTTCTGGGATGGAGCTTATGTGTTTTTTTCCAGTTACTATCATAGACTGGTGTTTGTAAGCTGTTTGTATCCTTTTTGGAGATGAAGGAAGTCAATTATTGCGCAAGAGATGCTGTATGCTAACCCAACTATTCATTCTGTAACCCCCACTGTCCTTGTTCTACTGGGACCAGAGACAAATCAAGGAAACAAACTGATCTTCTAAAATTAGAGATGTATTTCGGTGTCAGAAACGTTGAGTGCTTAAGTATCTGGTACTCGTACCCGAACGACTGGACGCAACACAACGGCGTGGCAAACGGCATGAACGCTTGACCAGTTGCCCTCAGCTTCGCAAGTCGGCTTAGATAGTGAGAGTCCGCATCTAATACGGAATGAAGGGTGTTGTTGACCAATAATATGGGGGTATTATTTACCGCTAAAAAGCATTGTCACTCACGTGTATATGATGGACACTGAGATTTCATTAATTGCTTAAATTTATGAGAAGTTTCGCTAAACCGCTTTTTGCGTTGTCTGAGACCACCTTTCCTTATGTAATTCATCTTTCGAGTAGTCTTTCATCATTACGGAAGTGACACTAAGCAGTGTATCACTGTCTCTGAGATTGCGAAGCTCCATGATTAGTATTAATTGACACTTCGAGTGAGCGGCCGACACCTTTGGATAAGGTTGCACCAACTCATGATGATCAAAATCCTTGAATTCTAGCTTCATCAAAGTGATTATTGCTGCAGTGTCGAAAGAAATGGTTAATGATAATATATTTACTTAATCGGCCCCTTAATCCAAACCTGGCATCATCGTCAAAAGCTTAGGAGTGTAAAAGTTTTGTAGATACCAATTTTTAATCCAGTTTTTTCACAGACAGGATACAACTCAAGGTCAAAGTTCAGGAGATTGCTTTTCTCCATTGCTAACTGGTAGCAAGTCAATCCATTGTAAGCTTTAGGTCAGAAGCCATCTGGTATTATGTCTGATGCTAGCACCAGTCAAGAATGTATCCGAAAAACTGTCATAGGTGGTTAATGTCACTGTTTATTTAGCCTGGGACTCCAAAACCACATCATTATATCTCCCGATTGGATTAGCTTCTCTACTTGAACAGTAAAGTGAAACTATAAGATGACATTCTGACAATATAGACTAATCGCTTAGGTTACAGGGGAATACTTACTGCTGATTGAACACTAAAATTGGATCTTTCTACTGACAGTTTTGAAATCATCTTTAAGATTATGTTAACACAGTTTTAAAACATACTTTCCCTCTTGATCCTCGGATAAACTGGAAAAATAAAACTTTAATAACAACTTTAACGGCTCAATCTGTACTTTACATTAAAATGGTGTATTTGAAAGTTTGTATGAAGAAATATGGCAAATAAAACAACAACAATAGCGACCCCACTATGAATAGATCAAGCAGAAAATCTTTAGATATCCTAATTTCATCTACCTTCAGTTGTTGTCACGCAGATAGTATAACCATTTAGGATATTACTTTATAAATAATCTTAACAGTAATTACAAGATATATGAAACCAGTTGTAGTATGGTGGTGTGATACACAAAGTGTTCTCCAACAGAACATTATCCTCATAGTACAATACCACGAGGACCGGGAAAGTAAGGCAAGCTTTCATTTCTCTCAAGTCTGTATGGAGGTCACGAGCACTCAGCATGAAAAATAAGATCTGGATTTCCAACTCCAGTGTGAAGCCAGTGCTACTCTACACAGAGACTTAGCACAGCGCCGCGTCAAGAAGGCCACCTCGAGCGAACTACAGACTTTCGTCAACAGCTGTCTTCGCTCAATACTACTCAAGTAGCCAGAAAAGATCAGCAACAGGGATATCTGGCAATGAACGAACCAACCCAGCAGAAACCGATTGCACAACAGATATGCAGGAAGAATCGGAGGTGGATCAGCCATACTCTGAGGAAACCATCAAGTGACAGGTCATCGCTCGAGTGGAGCCCGAATAGGAACCAGCGAGTTGGCCGTCAGCGTGAGGTTGACATGGAGGTCATGTGAAGAGGAGATGAAAGCATGTGGACAAAAACGTGGAGCCAGGTGACAGAGAACCGAACGCAATGGAGACGCGCGACTGAAGTTCTATGTTCCTCTAGGAATTAAATGAAACAATGATAATATAATAATAGCTGTTTGATCACTTGAAAATATACCTTGGCTTCCGTGTCTTGCCTTCTGTTGTTAAAGTAAGATTTCAAAACGCCTGGAAAATAGGAAGTCGTATTAAGCATACTCCGAGGAGCTAAATTTATTTCACCAGGAGGGGTTAAATATACAGCAACCTCAATGATACATGAGTGAATAGCTTATTTGGGATCACTGCGTCTATTCCTAGTCTGGTCGTTTGTGTAAATATAAAATCCTAGCCTTGGCTACGCCAATCCAGATACGAAAATGTACTAATTACCATCATTAAGTACTGGAAAGTGCACTGGAGGTTCAAGGGTAAAATATCTACCGTTCAAAATGAAGTAGTCCACGTTCAATTCCAGGTCGATGCACTCCTAAACCTCGCTTAGTATACTGCTGATAAGGTTAGCAATCCCATCCCGTTAAAACAACACACTCAGCATATAAGACTTCGAAGCTTGAAGCCCTACATATTCCACTTAAGACGCAAAGTAATCCAAGAAAACAAGATGTACTGAGGAGTAAACACAACTTTGATAAAACAAAACAGCCTCTGTTGTAATGTACCACAAATTCATTAAAATAGAGTTTCTGATTAGTATACATACATATACAAATTGTCGAATGACATAAGAGTCTAAACATAAACATACATACACACAGAGATACATGTATATATATATCAAATACAATTAGGAAAGAGAAAGTATTCATTGAATTAATATATATATATATATATATATATATATATATATATATATATATATCTGTGCAAGAATAATCCAATATTGAAGACAATAGGTAGGAATATAAAATAAAAAACCTTTTTGGAAAACACAAATGCACTAACTGGATTACTGATGAACGCATTGTTAGTAGTACTGTTTTGTTTGTTCTTCCAATATAAATAAATAACAGGTGTAAAAAAAAACAACAGGAAATTATACATTAATCGTAAGAAAATACACACACACACATATACATATAGGTAGGTAGTAGGAGTAATAACAACAGTAATAATGATTACAAAAGGAATAAAATAGCGCCAATTAATTACATAATTATAGTATTCGTAATACCGATAAGTTCACTGGTCCTGAAACCAAAATAGAGAGGTAGGGAGGGGGGTTGAAAGATAAAGTAAAAAGACAACATTGATATGACAAAAGAAAAATAAGTACAATGTGGCTGGCGGCAGTTGTGGCTAACGTGGTTGGTGAGGGGGACAATTAGGAATTAAAAAATGCTTAAGTAGAAAAATAATGCATATACGTATATGTGTGTGTGTGCGATATATAAAATCTTATACATTAAGTTGACCAAAAGAATAGACAAAGATATGACAAATGAAATTTAAGAAATAAGAGACACGTCAACGCCTACGCATGCAGGCGCAACGCACACACACAACTCGCTAATTGGATATTTAAATAGATAGATAGATGGACAGATGGATATCTTAGATTGATAGGTGTGAAAAGGTATATATATATATAGGTGCGTAGGGAATAAAAATTCTAGTCAATATACACGCACACACATATACATGTGCAGGGGTGCATCTTACAGCACTTGTTTATATACAAATGAAATCACCTTTTAGTTGTTTTTTTTAAAAATGGTCAGAAATCAATGTGAATAGAAAAAAAACCAGGCTGGAAATAAAAAAGATTATATATGCATAATTAAGGATAATATAAAAAGAGAAAAAATTGATTATTCGACACACTATTTGTTGTGAGTAATCAATCAATCAATCATAAGTAATGATAGTAGTAGTAGTGATAATAAATGTTAGTATAATCATATAATTATTTGGTATTTTTCTTTTAAAAGTAGAAAACAAAACAGCGAATGGAAAAATAGGATAAATTATGATTAGGATTTCACCGGAAATAGGAAATAAATAAAAAACACTGATACAAAAAACGGTAATCATAATAATTATCATTACTATCATTATTATTACCATTAATGTTATATGAAATGCAGTAATAATATAGAGCAGGGCAGTATACCTCACACAAACACACACATGTACGAAATAATAATAATAATAGTGATGATAATAATAATAAAAGACCCTGACTTTTGATTCAGAGAAAGGATATATTAAAAAAAACCAACTTGTGTCTGTATACTTTAAGTGACAAGAAAAATAGAAAAGAAAACTATTCCGTTATCGTCATCATCATAATCAATCATCAAGTAACGGGAACTATTGAATTTTCATGATCATTTGTATTTGACAAACAAGGACGATGATGATGATGGTGAGGATGAGGATGGTGATTATCGTGTAATGATTTATTCGGTGAATTGACAACTATTGCACATGCAAGCCTAGTTGGATTAATTGGTTTACGACGATTGTGTTGAATTTGTCTCTGTGAACAATTATTTTCAGATAAGGCGATTGATGTAGTTGATGTTGATGTCGGTGTTGTTGTTGATGATGATGATGTCAACGATTGGACGATTGTTTCATTACGTTGTCCTTGATGATAAAGAGAAGAATTTGTTAATGATTTATGATTGGTTATTTCATTAGAGCTTTCATTCTCATCACTTTCATGATTGATATCTGATTCAATTTTAATAGGTGTTTGCAGACAATTATCCCGAAGGCAAGATGACTGATATTCTTGAATCCAATTGAAAACCTGGATGATGATAAATTATACAATGAAAGCAAAATTTCATAATGAACGCAAAAATATGGATAACTTAACATTTTTTTAATAGGTTATGAAACAAAACAACTTCGTGCGTGTGTGTGTTGGGGGTACCATGTGACGACAAATTGATGTTCAGAAATGAACACTTGAAGTTAATTGAACCTCTGTAGGCTAAAAGACCCGGTGGACCCAATTCAACAAAATAATATAATTTACAAAATACCCTGCAGTGACTGTGAGGTCAACTATATAGGTCAAACTAGTAGATCGGGGGTAATCAGATTGGTGGAACAAGAATTTGGCTAAGGTAAGAATGTTGGTTTGTAGGGATTTGACTGATTACAGGATTTCAACATGAGCTGACATTAGTTAGAGAACCATTGGGAAACCTGGGAGTACTGGACAGCTGTTTCGTCCTAGTTTGGGACTCTTCAGGACGAAACAACTGTCCAGTACTCCCAGGTTTCCCAATGGTTCTCTAACTTATGTCAGCTCATGTTGAAATCCTGTAAGGTAAGAATGGTTGACCCAGAGAAGATACGTAATTTCGAAAAAAGCTCAGCAATTGCACTACATGCGTTAACATACAACCACACAATAGGGTGGGAGAGGGTTAAGATTCTAAGAAGTAATCTATGTAGGTGGAGAGCGAGAGAGATTGATTACTGAATCCTGGTTCATTGAGTCTACACACAAAACAGCACATGCAACAGAAATGACTCAATGCAAATACCTGAGATATGGAAGATATTATTACCACTAGTCAAATCAGAGGAGGATAATAGATAATCTCGAAATTCTATTTCAATTCAAGCACATCACAACATTCCAACAAGTTACTTATTATGACTATAAAAACATTCGTCTTATTTCTCATGTGACTGTAATTGATCAACAACACTCGTATTATTATTTCTGAATGTACATTATCCCATATTGATTTTTATTCAGATATTTAGTCACACATGTATATAAATGAAGCAAGAAAGTTGTGTGAGTAGCTTGATATGATTAAGAGCAATAATTAATGCTCGAAACGCCATCAGTTAATATTACTGTGTAACACTGTGTGACTTATCAAAGTAAAATCTTATCTATAATGGAATTATACTCTACCAGCACAGTGCCCAAATTTTATACTTATATTAACTGAACCTTTGCTAATGATTAATTACAGGATGATATTGTCTGGAACCCTAGTTGTCACCAACAAAGTCCATCAAGTCAGGCAGATGGTCGCCATCCATATATCACAAGTTGACGGAAATTAGAATTCATAGGTTATTGGTTGAATGGTCTACGGGTACGCCTCATGACATAAAGATTCCCAATGGGGTCATGGGTGCATATTGATGAAGAGTACTAAACTAGGACGAAACGGCTATCTAGTACAACTTGGTAGTTTTCAATGCCACTTGGTGACCTGACTTGATATGGAGTCGTTTTTTAGTTTACCGATGATTTTCTTTCATATAATTCAAGAAAAATTTGACATTAAACACATGTGTAGGTGTGTAGATATTACTGCTACTCTTTCCAGATAACTCTTTGACTTCCTAACAGGAATTGATGACGTACACTAATTACTTCTGGAATCCCCAAATGTAATAGTTTGCAAAATGATTTATTGATAAATTCTGTCATGAATGGAAAAAATTTGATAGAAGAACTCATGAATATGACAGATAAATTGCTAGAATGCAATTCTGCAAAAGTAGCAAAAGCTTTATGAAAAGATTCCGTAGAAAATGAAGTATGTAAGCAATTAAAGTCACATTTTTTAAAAATATACTAACATACATTAATACGGTAGGACAAACTTATTATATTAGTATTATTCCCTTGGATTCCGAGTGGAAAGTAGGACTTCAACAACACATCGCCGTTTTGTTCTATTTAAAGCCGTGCTCTTCAGCTGGGTCCACGACTGACCATAATCTCACATCTCCTCGCCCCATGATCTCCTCCATGTCACCCTCGCACCGAAGACCCACTCGTCGCCACTTCCCACTGGGACTTTACTCGAGCAGTGGCCTGCATTGCGCGCGATGTCATCCGACGGTCTACTCAACGCATGACCGATCCACCTCCATTTTCTCCTAAATATTTGTTGAGCAATCGGCACTCGCCTGTTGGTTTGTTGCCAGACAGAGTTTCTTGATTTGACACTAGTTACTAGTGTCAAATCAAAATATCCACTACAGTCCTACAGGAGGTCAATCGCGGGCCCGAATAGCTCAGTGGTAACATCTCTGACTGCAGCACTGGGTGACGCGGGTTCGAATCTCAGAAGGGACATGAGTTCCTTCAAGGTCCAAGGCTTCGTGCCGATTGCCTCCAACCATCTAACACCATCAAGACAGAGTTTCTTGTTGCTAATTCTTTCTGGCCGGCAGCCGGCCATTTAAACTTCAGTATGGAGCCAGCGAAGCAGGCAATTGTTTGTTGGAAATCCTTTTCGTGACACGCAGTGCAAGTTTCTGACCGGTATAGAAGGACTGACTTGACAACCCACTTAGGTGCTGTTATATTTCTCTACATTTAAACCTTGGTGACTCAATGGTAAATTTGGCGCTAGCCACGTGGGAGGTCCAGGTTCGATTCCCAGCTAAGACAACAGTGAACCTCTCCAAGTGGCTCACTCAAACTAACCAAGACTTTGTAGATTGATTCTCAATCTAATCCTATGCTGGCTAAAATTGTTCGAAACAGAGAAGGTGAAGGCTTGGCATACTTAGCACGTATTCTAACCATCTAAATCGATACAACTTCACTACTTTATCGATTGACTTCCCCTCCTTACCTAACGGGATCATGTAAACAAGCCAAAGTGTAGACAAAAAAGGAATATAATTAAAAGAAAATGGTGAGATACAATAAACAAGTAAATAAATACAACTAACCGTTTTATAAGGAAGACATAAATCTTGTGCAAGTGATTTCATTTTATCACTAGATAGATTCTCATGACTTTTACACGCAGATATTAACGCTTTCTTCTGTGATGGAGTAATACTTCTATGAAGTTTACTATTTGGACTTGTTACTTTTGATTTAACATTACTATTATTATTATTATTATTATTATTATTGTTTTTACGAATAGGTGATATAGGCATTTTTGCTCGCCTTGTTCTATTCTGTCGATATGGACTAGAATTTGATGAGGCTAAAAGCATTACAGCTGTTGCAGCCTTGGCTATATCAAATAAACTTTGACGTTCATCTTCATTTAAATCATCTATGGGTGCTTGTGTACTACTGCTACTACCACTGTTAGTAGTCTGTTTCGTCTTGTTACTATGATTATTCTTATTTGGTGAAGATACTGTCATTTGTGATAATGAGTCAATTTTCAATAATTTACTGCTTTTATTATTTTCTTGATTACTAAACGCCGTCGACGATGATGATGGAGTACGTTTACGAGTTGTTGCAGAGGTAGTGGAGGTAGGAGTAGCAGACGTTTCTGTTGTTGTTGGCGCCGTCGCCATCAGTGTCATCGATGGTAAAGACAACTGTTGATATTGTTGTGGTTTGATATCATTCTCTGAATTGACTCTAGACATCATGTCTGTATCGTCTGTAATCGATGCAAACTGTCCATTAGATGAATCTGACGCAGGTAGATTTAACGCATGATTATTATAATGATTTGAAAGTGATTCACTTGATAGATTCATGGAGTATACTTGATTCAATCTTGAATTATTGCTGTTAGGACGTGTAACAGCTGTAGGCAAGTATAAAACCAGAAAACAAACCAAGTTAGTTTTTATTGACAATACAAATTAAGTTATAATAATACTAATACTACTACTAATAATAATGGCTTTATCAATAATAAGGATGAAAAAAGTGAGGTAATTTGTGATAACACGAATAGTGAAAAAACAGCATGATTAAACAAACAAACAAATGTTCAGGTGGAAGTAGTTGACAAAGGCTAGTAAAAACAAATGAACCGATTAAGTAATGCTAGACTGATTGCAAGGGAAGTAAATCAGACACGTTTTTAATGAAGATGTGATAAGACTAAGGGATGATAAGAAAGGGGTTGAAAATATAAACAAGGGGTGGTGTAGAGGTCACCAGCTGGTTATGTCTTAATAGGCCAACAAAGGAGGGATAAGGGCTGTAAGAACTTCTTTGGAATCCATAGTTTAGGTTTAATAGTTGTTCGAATGCCTATCGTCTCAGCTGTGTGCACAGTAGACGAATACGAAGTCTATTGGAAAGATTCGGTGGGATGCGATGAATTACTTTGAAAGCTCTCGTTTTCTCCACTACATGACCACTATCATTTAAATGTGACAAAATTTAGCTACAGATTGTTTTTGTCTGTCCTTTGCCAAACCACCATGATGGGAGATGTTCACTAACACGTTGGCTAAGCTGTCTAGTAGTAGTGTGCCCAACATAACTGTCACTGCAGGTGCAGTTGAACTGATAAATGAACATAGATGTGGCAAAACTATCAAGCTTATCCTTCGTTCGCGTCCCAATCATTCATCGGCTAGAGAATGACAAACATAGGTATGCTGCGTAAAACGTTCTTCGTATACTCCTGGGAAGTTTCTGGAACAAAGTCTCTCTAGATAAGTCACCATTAAATTGTAACTTAATAAATAGAGGCTTTTTACGTGCAGTCAGAGTCTCAGGTTTTCTCTCTGATGTTTTAATATGTTTCTTTATGAAACTACTTGGATAGCCCATCTCCGTTAAGGAATCGTGAATATATTCAAATTCCTTTTGCAAGAGGTCAGCCGTAGATATCTTTCTTGCTCTGTTCGTAAGACCTTTAACAACATTTCTTTTATATTTAATGGGTACGTAACTAAGGAAGTGTGTGTATTGCCTTGTGAATGTGCTTTTTCTATAAAAATCAAAGATAATTTTGTTAGGATAACTAAACATCTTTGTTAGCCATGAAGACATGACTTTTATGCATGCAGTGACATGTTAACCTGATTGGACAATTTTTGATTCGTTTATTTATGGCTTAATTTTCCGTGGTTATATATAACCAATCGGATGTGTTTATTTATTCGTGGCTTCAATTACTGAGGATTTGTTAAGTATAATGATACTATTTAGTTTGTCTAGTACAGGTTGTTGTCGTTCTTCTCAGTCTGACCTTTGTGTTCATCTCTTTAGACAGAAGATACTTTCAAGTGATCGGTTGGTTATAATGTTGTGTCTGTTTAGTCAGTTAAGCAACCTCATAAACCAATAATGCTCCATCATAACACATTTATTTTCTTATAAAAATAGTACGACAAGATATGCGTTAGTGGTTGAGTGGCAGATTAGTCACTAGTTACATCGAAAGTCTGAGTTCAATTCCTTCCGAGTGGTACACTCTAAAGCTTCACCTAATTTACTAGCCTCAAAGATATGATTGATTGGCTTAAGCACCGAGTTTTCGGTTGGTGGGTCTTGGGTTCGAATCCTACTCCATCTGAATTAGCCTGGGCAAGTGGGTACTACCACCAGCTCGTAAACAATGAGTGACTCATAGCTTGGATTACTAGGAAGACCTGTTCCAGGAGCTGAGTTCAGATAAACACTTTACTAGTAGCCAAAAATGAATGGGTGTTGGGTGAGAGGCTAGAAAAACGAATACCAACTGTACTGAAACTTCAACAGTTTGGAAGCTTATGTTTCCCAAGGAAGAGAAAAGGATCATATGTATACAACAGTGGCATGAAGTTATTGATTTAGGGATTAATATATACATTAACCCACCCTTTAAACCTTTATCCTACACATACTTCTTGTTTTTTTGGAAAAACCAATTAATAAAATAGAAGACAGGCGCGAACAGAGAAAAAAACCCCGAGGAATATCGATTAATTGATCAGAAATGAAATCATTGAACTGTTCAATAGAGAGTTAACATATATATATATATATATATATATATATCATGAGTGAAATATTATCCAACTATTGACTTATTCGTATACAAATAGCGTGTGTAAGGCACGTCATATGATGAAATAACATTTTTGTTTGGTAATGTATATGGGGGTATTATATTCCACTGTACTAGTTAATTGATTATCTGTTAAATAGTAGAATATGACTTGGATGAAGTGTATGTGTGTGTAAACGACCAAGTTAAAAATTAGTTTTTACTTTTCTTGGGATTTTTCTTTATCTCCAAAACTCAATCACTCGTGGTAAAAGATTTTCCATGTACCAGACTACAAGCCATAAAATTTATTGTGTGTGAGGACTGGTGATACTCTATTATGTTACGTAGGCTGAATTGAGGGTGGGGGGCAGGATTTGAACTAGGAACAGACTGATTGGACAGGCTACATCCCCAAAATACAACCGAAAATAAAAAGATATATATATATATATATTCTGAATTGATGTTAGATGTGATAGTGTGAAATATTCTCATATTATGAATTAAAAGTCAATCTGAACGAAGAATATTCTTTTCAGTAATTTCTCTTCAGGTTCTTACAATTATAAAATATTATATTTGTGGTCGTTACAATAAAGGTCAGTTATGCGGCGGATACATTAGATGTTAGAGGAAATTGGCAAGAAGCTTTGAACCTAGGTTTTGTGTTTACTGGCAATCACCAAGGTGCATCTGCAGTCTTGAAGGAACTTAGGTGCCCTTCTGAGGTACGAATCTGAGTCACCCAGTACTGTTGCAGTCAGATGTGTTACCACTAAGGTATTCGGGCTTACATGAATTCAGTTACTACAAAGTAGTGTTCAATCAAGGTGCCCATTAAAGTCCATTAGGAGGTCAGTGGTAACATCTCCAACCGCAGCACTGGGTGATCCAAGTTCGAATTTAAAAACAGAGATGAGTTTCCTTCAAGATCGCAGATACGCCTTGCTGACTGATGAGTACCAACAAACATGAAACTTACGTCCAAGGCTTCCCTGTCGATTACCTCTAACCAACAGACAAGAATTCAGAATGCACAGTAATGGTGAGCCGCAGTTCACTCTGCAGCAAACGAAGGACTGAACGCGTGATATTAATTAATACCTAGTGTCCCACCAAAGTATATGTATAGGATATACACAGAGCAACATGGACTTCGCCTGACGGAGACACCACAAACCAGATAAAAATCATCTTAATACTGCTCAAGGAAGTGGAGACGCAGCTTGCTGCATACAAAGTCGAGAAGGGGAGCAGATTTGGGCTCAGACCATCATCCCTAGTTCAAGGAACCTTCAAGATGAAACTGAAATCCTTCAGAACAACTGGAGACAAGCCACAATTCAAGTTAAGTATTCAGAAACTGAAGGACAAAACTACAAGAAATGCTTTCACTACAAATATTAGAGCAAAGTCAGAGACACTACGTTGTATCACTGAGCAGACCTGTGAGGAAGAAAACTGGAACTCTCTGAAGGTGATGTTCAAGGAAACGTGTACAGCTGTCCTAAGAAGAATGAAGAGACAAGACAAGGAATGGCTCTCAACGGATATCTAGAAGCTGATAGAAGAGAGGAGGATGGTGAAAGAGAAGATGACTCAATGCAAAGATGGACAACAGAAGGAGAAGCTGAGTTCAGTGTAGATTGCACTGAATATACAAGTGAAGAAAAATGCTAGGAAAGACAAACGACAGTTCTACAACACACTGGCAACTGAAGTATAACAGGCAGGCTGCAGGTAAAAGAGACCTGATAACATTATATCAGATAACCAGGTCTCCATCTGGAAAGAGATCAACCCAGATGATGAAACCAATAAAAGATGTTTACGGGAGGAACAAATAAAACAATGGGCTGATCACTTCAAAGGACTTTTGCATAGACCATCATTTGCAACTCGCCCAGAAATACCACAACCACTAACAGCATGCACAGAACTGCCTGCTAGTTGACACCAATCCTCCAACGAAAGTAGAAATCCTGAATGCGACCAAGCTACTAAAGTCCGGGAAGGTAGCAGGACCAGACAGAATTCCTCTGGAAGCACTGAAAACGGCCCCAGAGATTACGGGTGATGTTCTCACTCCATTACTGCAAAACGTTTGGAAAGAAGGAAAGGTGACTACCGATTAGAAGAAAGCCCGGCTACCTTGTCAAACTACCAAAGAAGGGCGGCTAAGGCCTCTCATCTGAAAGAACTGACTGGTGTGGAATAATGCTGTTGGCCACACCAAGTAAGGTACTAAGTCGAGTCAGCCTGGAGAAAATAAAGGATGAACTGGATATAGAACTCTGCCCACAGGAACAAGCTGGATTCAGGAAAGGCAAATCATGTGCTAATCAAATTCCAATTCTACCCATCGTCGTCACATAAAAAAGCATAGAATGGCAGTCAGATCTCACTCCATCTCAACTTCATCGATTTCAAAAAGGCCTTCGATAGCGTTGACCGATAAGTAATCTGGAAACTACTTCAACACTAAGGCGTGCTGTGCTCAAGTCTTTATCAACCTTGTTCAACAGCTGGCTACATGCCAATGCTCCGTGTCAAGTGACCCACACCGGGAAACTCAGCGAGGCGTTCGAAGTGAATACATAAGTGAGA